TCATATTGCCTAATTAGAGTGAATTTTTCCATTTAAACATCCACACACATATTAATTTATTTCTTTAACCATTAAAACATAATCAAAGTTCAATTAATTCACTTATCATTATTTTTAGGGTTTGGCCGAATTCACCTTTTAAGAAAATCAATATCTATTTTCCAAATAAACTTAAATAATCACACCCAATTCTTCGATTAAACTTATAATCAACCCCTTTTACGTTAATTAAACCAATCAAACCAATGATCCAAATTTCTTAGTAATGATCGAAATTTCCATTAAGGTAACCAACATCCAAATTTTCATTCCAACATATTTAAACACACTTAATCCACCTAATGAACACTTAATTAACACAAATCATACAAACTAACATTTTTTACCAATTTCTAGGATTTGGCCATCTTTACCCTTAAATCAATCAACCTCAATTCTTGAATTCAACCTTAATTTAACCTTCCAACATCATAATCCATCCATCAAAAGTATGACTTCACAACCAATTCAATAAAAAAACCAAACTCAATGTAGATTGAATAATTAAGCATAAAGTTCACATCCTTTAAAACTTAATAACATCACATATCAAACATCAAAATAAGAATTTCTTATGATGTAGTGAGGACTACACTTGATTTAAGCTCGATAATTTTTCGACCTTAGAAGCTTGAATTTCCTCCTATTTTTCTTCCTCCTAGTTTCGACCAAAATGGTTCTTTTTCCTCCTTATTTATTCAACTTTATAAGGTGATTTTAGAAAGATTTTGGGATGTGATTAGGGTGGTGGTTTAGGTGTTTTTAGGTGGTGATTTGCCTCAGTTTTTCTTGAATTTGGGTTGTTTTCTCTTTTTTTCTTAGGTTTTCACTTGACCATTAACCTTCTCTTCTTCCTTTTTGGTTGAATTTATAGGGGTAGAATTTCCTTAGGATGTTATCAAGTGTTGCACACTTGATTTAATCATTTCACTTCCTTCTTCAAATGAATTTTTCTAGAGTTTTCTCCACTTCTCTACCATTTTCTTCCTTGATTTTTTCTCTTTTCTTTCCCTCACATGGCCAAAAAAGTTTTACCTTCTTTAACCCCCTTTTCCTTTGTTCAATTTTGGTTGGAAACCACCAATTCCAACTAAATTATTTGGTCCCTTAATTTGATAAAATTTACATTCTAATCCCTAAAATTTTACTTATTCCAATTCATTCCTTACATTCTAGTCCCTAAATGTTTAATTTTCCTCAATTAAGCCCTTAATCTAGGTTTTATAGTAGTCACTTATTTTTTTATTATTTCAATCAAATATCAAAATTTTTAATTGTTGCAATTACATCCCTAAGATTTTGTAATTACACTCCTAGGTTATTACATAATCACAAAAATTAATATTATAAACTCATTAATTCAAGCATTAAATAAGTCATTTTTCTTTCTTAATATTTAAACATGCTTTAATGTATTTTCTATGTAAGCATAAGTTACTAATTCATACTTTAGATAAATATTCATTTATTAATTAAATAAATTATTCATACAAATATATATACATTTAAAGAGGTTTTACGTCGTGGGTATTGCACATTCTAACACAAGAATGTCTCCTCCTTCACCATGGTCGAAAGTTTTGGCGTTCTATCTTTTAATTATATGTTTTGTTTATTTAATTCTCATATGAATTGGATTATTATTATCCGGGTTTATTTGATGTTTTTGACTTGGGATAAATTATTAAGTCCTCACTAATTAATTATTTTCTAAATTATAGGGAGTGATCGAATGTTATAAGGATCAAGAATCCCTTTTTTTTGTGAATTTCTATCTTTTAGGAAAAAATTTTAATGAGTTATTGTAATATGTGGATCTATAATTAATTATGGTAATGAAAAACACATTCATGATGTCTTTTATTCCGTTGACATTGGTCAAAATCTTCCGATGTGGGACAAATGATGAGAAAAGGTTATAAATTAATTTTTAATGATGATAGATGTGAAATTTTTTATAAGAAAGTGAATCAAAAGATTGCAGTAGTGAAAATGGGTTTCAACAACATTTTTTCTTTGAGTCTAAAATCACTACAAAATGTTACATTTAGAAGTGAGCATGTAGATGAGTCTTATTTGTGGCATTTGAGATATGGTCACTTGAATTTCAATGGCATGTAATTGTTGAAATAGAAGAACTTGGTAGTTGGTCTTCCTTTAGTTCAAAACAAGACTGGAGTTTGTGAAGGCTGCATATATGGGAAGATGCATTGCTTTTCTTTTCCGAAACAACATGGAGAGCAAATGAACCATTGGAACTAGTACATGTTGATATTTGTGGATCTACTTGTATTCCATCTATGAGCAATAAAAGACTCGTTTTTTCTCTTTGTTGATGACTACACAAAATTAATATGGGTGTATTTTCTTGAAAGAAAATCGGATGCCTTCTCTATTTTTCTATAGTACAAAGCTCTTACGGAAAGATAAAGTGGTTGTCAAATGAAAACTTTGAGAATTGATTATGAAGGAGAGTTCATATACGAGCCTTTTCTTGATTATTATAAGGAGAAAGGAATTCAAAGGCAACTTATAGTGACGAGATGGCAAGAAGCATGCTTAAAGGTAAAAGCCTTCCTAATAAATTTTAGGTCGAAGCTATCAATACAACAATCTATATTCTTAATCATTCTTTAACAAAAACAATTCGTAATCAAACTCGATTTGAAGTTTGGCACAACCACAAACCAATAGTTAGCTAGCTCAAATTTTTTAGCTACACTCGCTTATGCACTTGTTTCTTCCCAATGCAAAGACAAATTTGATGACAAAGGTGAAAAACATATCTTCATTAGCTACATTGATGAATCTAAAGGGTTTTGGCTTTTTAATCCTCAAAAGGATCAGTTGTTACTCTCAAAGGATGTTATTTTTTATGAGTTAACGAGTATGGAAATAGGAAAAAGATGTCAAACAAGTACCTATAACTTTTGAATTTATTGAAGCTATAAGTCAACCAAGCGATTCAATTTAGCTTCTCAAAATAGAGTCATCACGACTTTCCAAGATGAAGTCGGCACACCAAAGGCTAATCCTCTAAATGATAATTTAGATTCATACTCACCACTAAGAAGATATAGATCTTTGATTGATATTTATGATTCTTGTAATGTTGCTTTCTTTCCTGGTGAGCCATAGTGTTTTGAAGATGTTACAACAAAGGAAGTATGGAGAAAGGTCGTGAATGTTGAAATGGAAAGCATTGAGAAAAACAAGACTTAAGATTTAGTGGATCTACTAATAAGAAAGAAAGTAGTTGGCCCGAAATGGGTCTACAAGGTTAAGCACAATGAAAATGGAAGTATACAAAAGCATAAAGAAAGACTTATTGCTAAAGGCTACTCACAGCGAAGATATAGTAGACTTTAGAAAAACATTGGCACTTGTTCCAAGGATGGAAACTATCAAAATAGTTCTTGCTTTCACAAGCATAATTACAATTGCAAGTTTTTCAACTTGATGTCAAGTTAGCTTTTCTTAATGGAGATTTGGAAGAAGAAGTTTATGTTGAACAACCTCAAGGTTATGAAGTGAAAGAAAAAGAAGAAAAGTTTTATCGACTTCACAAGGCTCCTTATGGCTTAAAACAAGCTCCAAGAGCACGGAACAATAAGATAGACTCATATTTTCATCAAAATGGTTTTGACAAGAGTCCGTCCGAAGCATCACTTTATGTGAAGAAAAAAAGAGCGACTTTCTAGTGGTTTGTCTCGTGTAGATGACCGGATATATACGAGCACTAATACTGAAATGGTTAAAGAATTCAAGAATGTGATGATGAAAAAATATAAGATAATAGATTTAGGACTTATAAATTATTTCCATGGAATATAGGTGAAACAAATAAAAGAAGAGATATTCATATCTCAAGAAAAGTATGTTACAGATTTGCTTAAAAAATTTGACATGGCAAATAGCAAACTAGTTGTAACTCCTAAAGGTAATGAGAAATTGCAGCAAGATGACGGTGCAAAGAAGGTTGATTCAAAGATTTTTTAAAGCCTTGTTGGTTCCTTTATTTATCTCACAAATACAAGGCCATATATAGTCTATTCTTTGAGTCTAATTTCTTGACTCATAGAAGAACCAAGTAAAATTCATTTTGCGATGGCAAAAAGGATCCTTTGTTAACTACAAGGTACGAAGAACTTAAGGATTAAATATAAGAAGGAAGAAGATACCAAACTGATTGGTTTTACCGATAGTGATTAGGTAGGAAGTCTTGATGATAGAAAAAGCACTTCGGGATATATTTTTTGCTTGGGCTCGAATGTGATTTCATGGAGTTCAAGGAAGCAAAATTCAGTCGCATTGTCATCGGTAAAAGTTGAATATATTGTAGCAAATGAAGCAACATGTGAAGCAATTTGGTTAAGGCGAATTCTTTTTTATTTGTAGCAAAAGTTTTGAGGACCTATTGTGATTTTATGTGACAATATGTCGGTCATTGCAATGACAAAGAATCTTGTTTTCATGCAAGATCAAAGCACATTGAATTGCATCATCACTTCATTTGTGACATGATTAACAAGAAGGAGCTTTACCTGGACTTCATCGAGTACAAATGATCAACCAACGAGATGTTCTCACCAAAGTAGTATCTTTCGAGAAATTTCAACAATTCAAGAATTTTTTAAAAATTTCGAATTAAGAGGGAGTGTTACAAAATAGTTTGTAATTTTTAGTATCAAGTTTAATTGAGTCAAAGTCTCTTTGTGTTTTCTAGAGTTTTGGAATGTGCAGTGCTTTGTTAACTTCTATGTCTCTTTGGTTCTCAATCAAACATTTAAGGTCAATATACTATATAAAAAAGGTCTGTAACAAATAATATAGGAGTAAGGTATTGAGCTGCAACTCTACCTAAGTATTTTCATCAAAATCCTTTTTTCTCTTTTAGCTTCCGCATATTTTCCAACAAATTAAACCTTTACATTTTTAACGTTACCTAATTTTTTTCTTAGGTTCAAATGGATGGTTATGCTGTCAGTTTTCGTGCTCCTGGTACAGCGTATTTCTTAACTATTTCAGTGTTTTCTATTTAATAAGGAGTATATTTTACTTATTTCTAAATGTTACTAATTAAACTTGTTTGCATCCACCTTATACATCCAATATATTGCTAAAGTTAAAATCTAAACTATGAATTTGGTCAATCTATCAACTTAAGTTTTCTTTCCATATATGGTGAACTCTTGAAACTGGATGCAGTTGAGACAGGAGAGAAAAGCCATTTGGATTATCGGCTTCTTGTTTCTGTGTGCACGACATCTATTATTCGGAAGCCGGGGGCATTCTCTCTCCCACAGAAACATATTCTTGTTGTGCTGATGGTGATTTTGTTTAAGCCCTTCTCTTTGTGCCCTGTGTTAATTAAGCACGACTGAGAACCTCCCGCAGAAGTTGAAAACCATTAAGTTTTTCTGCTCCAACTGGAACTTAATTTATATGTTTTTTCAACCTAGAACCATTAGATCCATTGATATGATGTTGCCTGAGCCCTGAAGTGTGTAAAAAAATTGAATCATTTCTGTTTCTTTTTAAATATAGTGAGAAGTAGCTCCTCCCTATTTTGTTTTTCAAAAAAAAAAAAAAAAACAACTGATTAGTTAAGCATTTATAATATGCCACATGCTCAGGCAAAGCTCTGACTCAAAATCGCAGGCTATATATTTTAGTTTGAAATGAAAAACAAAAACAAAAGAAAAAGTGGAACATGCCCAGTCCATGAGCCATACGAGGATGAAAAAGGAGAAGTCGAGAAGAAGCCATGCAGAGATGAAAGGGTATATTCTATGCTTCCTCCTTTAGATTCCATTTCTTTAGTGGACGAGGGAACATTTGTGATGGCATTTGAGTTGGGCAGCATGTTGAATTTTTCTTTGCCATAACCAATATACCTTTTCTTTTTCTTTTTAAGCGGAACAAATAAATTCTGCATTCTAATGCAAACTATATATATAATTTATTAGCAACATTGTTGCTTTAGACCCCTTAATATATATAATATTAAGATCAAAATCTCTTTTTAATAAAGTCACTTTCACTGAATAAAAAAATGAAAATCTTGCAAGATGATACGATACGAAAGAATACACAGAATATATATATATATGCATGTTAATTTAAAATTTCTCATATGCATCCAAAATTTAGAGGAATTTTCTTTTGACTTTACATAAAACAAAAAGGAGAAATTTTAGTCATATCTACTTGAGAAAAAGAAAATGAAACTTTAAATCAATTCACCGAAAGTTGAGAGTTAGGGGTTGGCTCTTTGTATATGGATGGAATAATGTTAGTACTCTTCCACTATGGGATACCGTTTTCTTTCAATAACGCACTAATTAATGCAACGAATCTTTGTCAACTAAATTTCACTTTTATGGTGTACAAGACCAGTTGCATTTCTTTAAGCGATGAAATACATTATTTTTTATTATTTAAGCATCTTTCAAGTGCTCTAACTGGAACATAGTTGTTGTAACCTACTTTTTGTCTCCTTATTTAAAAAAAAAATTAATTTAAAAAATTTCAAGAAAAATTAAACATTTCTCTTAATTTATTCAGATTTTTAAGAATTCAAAATTTTTATGAATTTTCATGATTTTTATTATTTTTAAATTTCAAGTGAGACAAGCTAAGCATAAAAACCAAAGGAAAAAAAAATCAATGAACAAAAAAATCAATAAAAATGGGTTTTATGCATATCAAGACCCCAAACAATTCGAATTTTTTTATTGAAACTCTAAATTTTTTTCTATCTAATTTAAGTGTTATACTTTTTTTCAAACTCTAATGTGCCATGTAAGCACATGTGGTAAGACCTACCCAATGAAAGATTGACATGTGGCAAAGCAAACCCAATTTGATTTTAAACGAAAATTAAAAAAATTCTAATAGATTTTTAATTATTTAAATAATAATAAATCTAAAAATAAGTTATGAAAATACCAATCTACCCTTGCTCACTAAACCCAAAAAAACCCCCAAATTCCCTCCTCTACCCATTCGTTTCAATTTTTTCTACTTGTTACTTCTCTGTTTCCTCCGATTGCAATTAACCCCAATTTCTCCTTCTCTTTTCCCAATTTCACAAAACCTAACCCTAATCCTCATTCCCTCTCATTCTACTTTTCCAATTTCACAAAACCCAAACTCTAATCCTCATTCCCCATCATTCTCGAATCCGTATTTTCCTAATTATAAACCATAATTCTCATTCCCCCTTAACCTTTCCTCTTTCTTTCTCCTTCGTTATGTTTTCTAACTTAATTCCCAAATTATGATTCCAGAATAGAATGACTTTATCATCGACATCCTCTTCCTCTTTTAAGCATTTATCGATTTGTGCTCTCGGTGATGAAGAATTACATCGAATGAGAAAGAACCTACAATTTCATGTTACTCGTGACATGAAAACAAGTAAGGCAATGTCTTGGAGTGATGACCACCTAGGTGTTAAGTATTATGTTTGCGCACTTCGATTCAAAGCTAAAGGTAGAAAAGATGTTGGGTGCAATTTTAAAGTGTGGTTCTAAGATGAGTTAGATGGTAGAGCTAAAGATATTATTTTGGGTATGCGAAATTGCCAACAAGAAATACATGCTGAGAAATCAAGATTGATTTCGGAGAATGTTAGATTGAATGAAAAAATTACTATGTTAAGAAGTGAGAATAAAGAATTATTGATTGAATTAGAGACTATAGGAATTAAGGACAATGCTTACAATAAGCAAAAATAGAAGGAGAACTGGAGATTGAAGATCCGAAGTTGAGTTGTATTGATTTAATATTGTTTAAACTTATAATTAGTAGAGTTCTTAAGCTATTTTGTACAATGATTGTCATTGTTATTGTAAAATTCCAAGTTTGATTATGTGAAATGGATAACAATTCATTGCCTTATGAATGTATTTTGAAAAGTAGTACCGTAGGTTTTAGATAGAGGGAAGGATGGAACTCTATTTGTATTTTAAGGATGTTTGACTAAAGTTGGTGTTATTATAGCTAAAGCTCTTTCTTCATGTCATTGCCTTTTGCCTTTATACATCTCAACTATGTCAATGGTCAGCTACAAGTAATTCATTGTATGAGAAAAAAACCTCAAGCAGGTTTCCTTTAAGGCTAGAACTCTTTATATCTTGAAGCTCTTTCTCTACATCCTTTCTTGCTTTTGCACGGGCAAGGAAAATAACATATCATTTCTCTTTTTCTCTAGTTTTTTTTTTTTAGTCACTGTATGATTATATAGAAGTTCATAGTATGCAAGTTTGTATTTTCACATTCCCTTTGTGTATAATAATGTCTCATTTTCTTATCCATATAATGAAATGGACAATAACACCGATTGTGTAGCTTGGAAATAACAATCATTTCTCCTTTCTTGACAATACAACCGAGAGAACTCTAGCTTAGAGCATGATTTAGAATTTCATATCATCTAAATAATTTTGGATCTTACATATGTATTCTAGAACATCATCAGCTGAAAATATTACATTTCAATATCAACTCATTACATATTGCATGTTCTTTAGCAACATCTAAAAAGTTATGACATATTACACGTCCTTTAACAACATCCAAAAAGTTAATAACACTAAGCTAATATTAGATGCTCTTTTTTCATAACACTTGCTCTTGTGATCTGTCTTGCCTTAGGAGTTTGATCTAGTCACCATCTTCCTTTTTCAAAACTTTTAGCAACCTTCTCCTTGCTATTCTGTCATGTTCTACCAGCATCATTCTTTTTCATCTTTTGACTTTGTACATCCTCTCCTCCTTCTCAATGCCCTAGTTATTCATAGGTCCATCATCATTTTTTTCATTTTCAAAGATGCAAATCCAATCTTTTGTTTTCCCTTTCTCTAAAAGCAAATTAAACAATTCCAAATAAACAAATAATTGGTTCCACCGTAATAGAACCAATTCCACAACCAATTTGATTTCCAATTAAAAAAATAAAATTATCACTTATACCCGACCAATGGTGACGGGTTCTACCATAACAAAACTAATTCCATTAGAAGCGACCTCAACATTCGACTTTCATTTGCTCTAATACCAAATAAACAAACAAATATAAACAATGCTTGGAATTAAATTGAGGCAAAAAGCTGTAAAAACTTAGAAAAATGATTATTTGTACCCGATCAATAGTGATAGATTTCACCATAACGAAGTAATTCTAGAAACAAGTCCACCAACCGTCTCCTTTTCCTTACCCTTGTTACTCACAAACATATCGTCGTTCCTTTTCCTCTTATCGGATGAAGCAGCTCCGACCTTCTATTTTTCCTTCCTCTAATACCATAAACAATGCACCATAATTAAATTGAAGCAAAAATATAGTAAAAATAATCATTTTTACTCGATCGCTTATGACGAGTTCTCTTATAACAAAACCAAAGTCTAAAACAGGATGAATTGGACCTCTTCAACCTCAACATTAGCTAGTCCGAGTAGATGCAATACCACCATCATCAACCTTCACATGATAGTGACAAATGTAAACTAAAAAAACATAAACACAAATACATAAATACACAAACACAAGCAAGTTCAACAACTAAAAATACTAATCATCTTATTCTTGAGATTCTTAGGACATGTCATCCTCCTTCCTCTTTTTGACATTTTAGTTCAACTAGATCATTTTCATGATTCTAAACATCTCTTCTTCTTTTTCCTTCTAGGTTGTTTCACTATCTTTGGAGGCAGTACCTCTGCTTTTTATGTCTTAGGCCAATATTTTTCACAATTTGTTGGCTTAATTGATATTTGGTATATAGATAAGAACATGTTCTTGCAATACTAATGGCCAACATAATTATCAAAATTCCACTTTCTAGCTAAACAAACAACTATAGCATATGGACATGGTATCCTATTCATCTCAAAAAAACCTATAAGTACATGTTTTCCTCTCCATATGCACTCGTATATTTATTATTAAAATTATATATGGTTATGTCCTTATTCTCATCATCACCATTATGCACTACTTTAAACTTTGAACTTAGATCTCTAAATTCTTCAATCTTTTCCCAAATCTTAGGCCCAAAATTCCCATTATACCTAAATACAAAAAATCTCTTAGCAATAGTTCTTTTCATAACAAAAATCGTAATCTTCTCTAACAATGACACAATACTTTTATGTCTTGCTTATAAAATAAATCCATTCCATGTTTCACATAGGTCATTATCAATTGCATCGGATTTAACATATATTTGAAAGTAAGCCTTACATTATTTTTGTGGATATTCTTTCATGAAATCTTCAAGTGTTGCCTTGCTATACTTTCCCAACTCGCTCAAGATTTTCTTCTAAATCTAGTATGGTACTTGATTTTGCACAAATCCAACATCTTCACCATTATGAGCCTTCCCCCATTTAGCATAAATATGTCCGGCACACCACCTATATTCTACTCTAGGTACTAGTTCTTTTAGAGCAAGCACATACTCCCCGTAAACATAAATAATTAATTAGATTAAGAAGATTACTTGAAATTAAAGAAATACCAATAAACCATGTATATTTACTAACCTTTTGCCTTTCCGTTGTGAAACTCTATCCATATCCATTTTCATATGGAATCCCAACATCTTCCATCAAAAGTTGGATGCATCGTATCCATTTATCTTTATTTTCCCACTTCACAACAACTCAACACAAAGGATATATTTGATTTTTTATATCCCCGCCAACAGCTAACAACACTTCCCCTTTTAATTGACCCTTTAAGAATGCACTATCTAACCTTATAATTAGCTCGCACCCTACCTTAAAGCCTTCTTTTATATCATAAAAATACACAAAAATTCTTTTAAACCCGTTTAAACCGTCCTTATCCTCTTTTGTTTCAAAAATGACAATATTATTGTCATTACATCTTCTCAACTCGGTTGCATAATCTTCAAGCCGCCTAAACTCATCCTTCATTTCTCTAGAATAAATCAAATACATCAAATCCTTTACATGTTTAGCATGTGATAATGTAATTTGCACTTTCATATCAAACATATTGTTTTTTATAGTCTTATGCAGTTTCTTAGTTAATGCGGTTCTTCCAAGGTTCTTCATAAACTACTCAATAATATATCTATAAGTAACCTTGGAATTTATGGATGACCAATCACGTATGCGTTGCGTATCATATGTCTTCACCATCCAGCTTTTTATCCTTCCATCAATAAAAACTAGGAACTTCTAAGGACAAAGGTCATTTTTGTAAACAACTTTATATCTATGTTTGTCATTCCTAATCGGCTTCAAATCTCTCCTACTACCGATGGCACACTTAATCATAGCAGATTCGACTTTCTTCTTTTTCTTAAAAATCATACGAAGCCGAAAATAAGGAGGATCTAAAGTTAGGTCAAACCTCACCGATCTGCTTCCTTTTTTATGCCTAACTCTTCATCACTTGTTGCTATAATAGCCATCATCCCCTTCATCAAAATTATAATACTCCTTATTCAATTCTTTTTCTAGTTATTTCAACTCTTCTATTAATTTTCTTCCCTCCTCATTCCCTTTCATGTTTCCTTCTAAATTTTCTTCCACATTTTCCTTTAAGTTTCCCTTTACATTTTTCCCTAAGCTTCCCTCCATATTTTTTTCCTAAGTTTTCCCTCACATTTCCATCTAAGTTTCCCTTTAAATTTCCATCTAAGTTACCCTCCAAATTTCCATCTAAGTTTTCCTCCAAAATGACCTTACTTTTACCAACCGACACTAACTTTATCTTTTTCAAACCTTCTCTAATTTCTCTAGCTTCTTCATCATCCGACACCCACTGTACATCCACCTAATATTTGACATCATCATCCGGATCATCATCAACATCTAAATCATGGACCACCCCACTCTCTTTATTGACATTCCCACTCGCCTACCATACTTTTTATTTAAAGTCCCACTACCCACCACACACGTTTTATTTAAAGTCGCACTACCCTCCACATACACTTTATTTAAAGTCTCACTATCCTTAACTATTCCCACATACTTAACGTACACATATTGACCTACATTGACACTCGCTACCTTCACCAATATTAGCAACACCATGGTCACCTACAAGGACAGTGCTACCCATAACACTACCTATATATATATATATATATATATATATATATATACACACACTTCTTATCTAGAACTATCCTCACCAACCCACCACTCATGTTCATTTAGTCCTAGCCTTTTACATACGAGCTTTTTGATTATCATAACCAATCAATGGGTGGATCGAATCACTTTTCTCATAATATATGTCAACCACCAACCCTTTACATAACATATTAAACATATACAAACAACTTTTATCATTATTAACTTCTACGAGAATTCATTCAAAATTCAATTTAGAGTTTAACTTCCTATAATAAATAGCCTTGAATTTTTCATATCCATAATCCTTAGCATTTTCTAAAATCCCTCAAAATTGTATTAAATCGGGATCTATATTACTTTTTTCAATAACCTTAACTTCACTTAAAAATAAACTTTTCCTTTTCCTCTTTTGTAATTTAACCCCAAAGTGAAGCCTTAATATTGACATTGAAAGTCCTACAGTCTTTGAGGATACATAAAGGAAAAAGTAAAAAAGCACACTATCAAAGACAAAGATAAAGGAAAATGCAAATTTCAAACAATGAACAAGTATAAAATGAAACCCATACGAACACAAACGATAACCATCAAACAAATCCGTATTCAAAAATTAAAATTGTTCCCTAAACTGTAGATAAAATTGTGGCCTAAACTATAGACAAAAATTTTAAAGACCACAAATCCATATTTAAATAATAAATAAACATAACAAAATATTAAACCCCATACAATAACAACCTATTTTGACAAAACCCATAATAAAATTCCACCTAATATATAGAAGTATAAAAAAAAAATTACTTACCATGTTTCTAAATTCGTAATTTGTTTTAATCAAAGACAAAAGTTAAATAAGAACAAAAGGTAGAAAGAGAAAAGGAGAGGAAGGGTCAAAGGGAATGATGATTAGCGTTTGGGTTTCATAAAATTAAGGGAATGAGGATTAGGGTTTTGGTTTTGTGAAATTGGAATAGCGAGAATGAGGATTAGGGTTTAGGGTTTGCAAAAATGGGAAAGAAGAAGAAATTGAGGTTGATTACAATCAAAGGTAGAGGAAAGAGAGAAGAAATAGCAGAAAAAACTAAAACAAATAAGGAAAGAGAGGCGAATTTGGGGATTTTTTAGGTTTAGCGGGCAAAGATAGATTGATATTTTCATAATCTATTTTTGGGTTTATTATTACTTAAATAATTAAAAATCTACCATAACGAACCAATTCCATCGAAGAAACAACTCTAACCTTATGCTTTCCTTTCCTTTAATACTAAACAAACAAATAAATATAAACAATGCTTAGAATTAAATTGAAGCAAAAATATTGTAAAGATAAAAAATAATTATTTATACCCGACCAACGGTGATAGGTTTCACCATAATAGAAGTAATTTTATAAATAAGTCCTCGAACCTTCCGCTTCTTCTTGCCTTTGTTATCGATGGACATATCCTCATTCCTTTTCCTCTTCTAAGATCAAGCAAATCCAACCTTTTACTATTCCTTCCTTTAATACCGGATAAACAAACAAATATAAACAATGCACCATAATTAAATTAAAGCAAAAAACTATAAAAATTGAACCTAAATTGGACCTTGTTCAACCTTAATATTAGTTGGTCTAGTCTATGCAATACCATAATGATTAACCTTCACATGAGAGTGAAAAATGTTACCTAAAAAACAAAAACACAAATAAAAACGAAGTTATATGAATAAAAATAGATTTTAGGACATGTAGACCTATCGTGTCCTTTCTTAAAATAGATTTTAGGAGTCATTCTCCTTCCTCTTCTTGAAATTTTTGTTCTACTAAATGATTCTCATGATTTTAAACGTCTCTTCTTCTTTTTCCTTTTAGGTTGTTTCATTATCTTTACAGGTAGTACCTCTATTTTTTATGTCTTAGGCCAATATTTCACTAATTATTAGCTTAATTGACTTTTGGTATGCAGATAAAAACATGTTCTTAGAATACCAATGGATAAGATAATTATCAAAATTCCACTTTCTAGTCCATAAATAGCTATAGCATGTGGACATGGTATCTCATTCATCTCAAACAAACTATAAGTGTATGTTTCCTCTTCATATGCACCATATATTTATCATTGAAATTGCATCATCACTATTATGCAATACTCTAAACATTAAACTTAGAACTTTAAATTCTTCTATCTTTTCCCAAAGTTAGGCCTAAAATCCCTTTTATACCTAAATACAAACAATCTCCTAATAACAATTCTTTTCACAACAAGAATCCTAACCTCCTCTAACAAAAACACAATACTTTTATATCTTGCTTGTAAAATAAATCCATTTCTTGTTTCACACGAGTTATTGTCAAC